TGACTGCAGCCTTCTATCCATAGTTTTTTTTTTTTTTTCCCTATCTGCCTCAGTATGGAATAAGGGCCTCCAGTTAAAGCTTTGGTTCTATTGTTAAATTGATCTCAGCTAATTAAACTAGAAAACAGGCGCTAGGTAGTTTCTTATATATAAAATGTAGCTAAAAACTAAATGGTGTTTTTTCTCTTCTATCTACTTCATCATCTCACATTGGGAGTTGCTAGTCATCCAGTTTAGTACTTGTGGCCAGGAGAAACTTGTGCTTTGTGCCTCGCTGAGCTATTTATGTTGATTTAATAAGACAGGCAGCAATATTTAGGTGTGCTTCAGGGATGCTAAAACAGGCAGGCTGAATTTACATATTTATGAGACAAAACTGTTTGAACTTATACACACACATGCGCACGCACAAATTGTGTCACTGTGGTGTTTTCCTTTAAATGCTTTACATGAACAATATTTCCCAAGGTTGCACTATTGATAAACACAAGAACTACATCTGGAAGAAATCCTTTGAAATTAGATTCTAAATCCACATTAATGCCAAGTAAGTAATGAGTACCGAGAGGTACTGAATAGGAGTGCTGGAAAAGAGAAAAAGTTAGTTGTTTTTTTCTCTTTTTTTTCAAAGGTAGGGCAAATGCTTAATTTCTTGCTTTTCCTATGTCAAGGTCTGTTTGAGTTAAATGTGTGTGTGTGCATCTACGTGTGTATATGTAATAAAACACCACAACAAAATCCCGGTCTTAAATTGCTATTCCTTAAATAACATATTACCATTTATCAGTCCCTCCTTCCTTTGGTTTAAATTCATCAGAGGGGGCGAAGTCAAACACAGAAATATTAAATAGCAGTTCTAAATGTTACAGAAACACAGAATAAGAAAGAATAAGGTGTTATTTGTTTCTTCTCTGCTTACTATCCTCTCACCCTCAGGTAGATGGCATTTTTATTTATTTATATATTTTTAGTATATCTGAGCTGATTTAATTTTCCATAGAGATGGTTTTAGATGTGTTTATCAGAATAAATCTTGAAAAATCTGAAACTAAACTAATTATGTCTTAAACAAGGTACAAGTGGTTATTTATTTTTGTCATTCATAAAATACCTCCAGAACAAATAGATGAGAAGCAAGTATAGTAGCCTCCCCATTTCTACCACACCCCCAAAGGCCTAAAGGAAGGAAGGTAAGACTGGAAATAGAGTTCTGTTTAATTACAAAAATTTTCTAAAGGATTATATTTTTTTGGGTGGTGTCTGGCTTCACTAGTTCTAAGAGGATTGGGTGTGGGGTCTGGATCATGTCCTTCTTATAAGGCCTCCCAGTGGAAGAGTAGATTTTAAAAAGTATTTTGTGGACATCATTTCCCAGTGAGATATAAATAAAATGACATATTCAGCCATGCCCTTTACCCAGAATTTCTTCTTGGTTAAGAGCACAACTTTGATTAGGTACAAATACTGTAGAACCACTACAATAAATAAAGTAGTAGTCACAATCATGTTTGCATCTCCTTTCAAATCATGACAAACATTTCGTTATAAGTGATGTGGTTGTTGTTGAATGCCATCAAGTCATTTCCAACTCATAGCGACCCTGTATAGGGTTTCCAAGGAGTAGCTGGTGAGCTTGAACCACCAACCTTGCAGTTCAAACGACTTTGAAGTCTGATGTATTAGCCCACCACGCCACGCTAACATCAATCTGTGATTTTTTTATAAGTTTGAAACATAAACTATGCTCATGGTTTTCTTAGAGTGGATTGCTTACTGGGTTAAAAGGGTTGCCATCTAGTCCGCTCTGACTCATGGTAACCCTGTGCTCTATAGGGTTTTCAATGGCTGATGTTTCACAAGTACATCATTTCTTTTCCACATCAACTATGGGCAGATGAGAACCTCTAATCTTTTGGTTAAGAGTTGAGTACACTAATTGAATATTTGTATCACCTAACGACTCCTTTTAATGTGTTAGTTACTATATAACTTTCCCTTCTAATGAAACACTATATATGAAGCCATAAAAATATATTGTATAGATGATTTGGGATATTAAACTGGGTAAAATGAATCTGTGCAGAAGGTCCTGAACACATACATTCAACAAAGCAAAATTCCAGAAGCAAAGTCTTTTCATAAATAAAACATAACAACAAAAGAGACTAAAACTAAGGAATAAATTATTGTTTTCTGGACTAGGAAATCTCAGATTACAAAAACTGCAAGTTAAATTTTAATCTATCAGTAAGCCAGAGAAGGTATTCAACCGGTGATGATCTCTCAGAATCCTGGGGACCAGGGGGAAATATGGCTTTTGTTGCTCTTGACAGTTGTCACATACATCCAATCAGCAACAAATACAACAAACCCAACACAAGAAATCAGCTTTATTTAACATAACAGGGGAGAGGAAGAATAGGGGATAAATGGGGCTCAAGTTATTTCTACTGCAAAACCTTTCTGTGGGTGATGCTCTGAACTGCAAGATGGGTTTGAACTGCAGGGTTGTAGTTCAAGCTTACCAACGATTCCTCAGAAACCCTATATGGGGGTCACTATGGGTTGGAAGCAACTTGACAGCACTTGACAACAACAATCACAAAATTAAATAGTTTTACTAATTTAAGGAATACCTATAAATGAGAAAGGTATTTATATTGAAACAGAAGGAAAATAACTTTTTCCTAGCATTAACTAAGAGTATATTACTAAAGGGATTGGATAGCAGTTTGAAAAGCTGGGTTTAGGGCCTTAATTGCATGACAACCAATGTAATTCATAGTCATCAGTGAATAGTTAGTTGCCATAGGATTCGATGATATTCAACAGGAGGCTACCAAATAATCTGAAAGTCACTGAGAATATATATTTAAGCAAATGTCTAACTCAGTAGTCCATATATTGGCTGTAAGGCCACTATTCGAAGACAATGCCAAGATGGTTATAAGTGTTGACATCTAAGGCAGATGCAGTGAATAGGTTCCTATTCAAGGGAGCCAAAGGAGGCAGCAGCAATTATTCGTGTGATACCTTGGTCTTTATAATTTGACTGACTTACTAAATATCCAACTTGAGTAATGATGCATTTTGAAGCTGTTTAGTGGTGCTACTAACCTGAGAATGAACCACTCTGGTCATTCATATTCCGGTTGTCTTAGTGAATGGATGTTATGTAATTCCTCTTGGAGGAAACCTTTTATTTAGGGTCCGGAGAACGCCAAATCGAATAGTAGGCAATAGCAACAATGTGGTTGTTGTGTGCCATCCAGCGGCAACCCTGCATAGACTAACCAAGAGCAGCTGGTGGGTGTGAGCTGTCAAACTTGCAGTTACCTGTCCAGTGCATATCCCACAGACCAACACCAGGGCCCAATAGAAACTGTGTTGTTGTTAAGTGCTGTCGAGTCAGTTTTGACTCATAGTGACCCTATATAGGGTTTCTAAGGAACAGCTGGTGAGTTTGAACCACCTACCTTGAAGTTTAAATGACCTTTCAGTCCCATGCTTATCCTACAGTGCCACATCAGGACTCCAAGAGCAACCACAGGAGGTGATTGAGCTACTTACATTGAACTTCTTTAGTCTACAGAATAGCACCTCAGTCAATGAAGTCACTGTTTTGAGAAGCCAAAGATGAAGTATGTCCTTCCTTCATAATGGCCTGCACTACTCAAGAGTCAGTCAGGAAAGGTCTGGAAATGTAGGCTGCCATTGTCTCACCTTTATTGGCTTATGGTCAGGATTCAGGTCACTGTATCTTTCTATTGGTAAACATGAGTTTGTAGTTCGGTATCTTAAAAGCTAGCTAGTGAGGAGATACTCTGCATAACGGATTTAATGATCCAGGACTAAGATAGCAGGGATCTGGAATGAGGTGTGTCAGGAGAGCGATGCTATTTATATATGGGCAAAGCACGTCTGCATTATCCTTGCTTCTATTAATAAACTAGCACTCTTTGTGAGTGCTAATTTAAAATGAATCTTACATGATTAAAATTCCCCCAAATGGAAAAGAACCTTGAACCATCACTGCCCTAGAAGCCCTGATAATTAATAGTCTATGTGTTCAGGATATAATATGACTGCTTAGTGAAAGGTATAATTTATAACTCTTATTCTCTAACTACAACCTTCAGTTGATTCAAGCAATTTACAGACTGTCCTCTACACATCGAATCACTCTTGCTATTTCTGGAGCTCACGCCATTTTCCTTTCTTGACATGGTATGACTTTCTTTGTTGCTTCTATCATATTCATTCATCAAGGTTCACAAAGACTCCCCTAAAACTCCTCTCTAACTCCTCTATCGAAGCTAAGTAAGCTTTCTGAACTCATCACTTTTCTGAACTCTTAGTACATGTAATGGTTAGATTTCTGTGTCAAGTCAACTAGGCTAGGATTTCCAGAGGTTTAGCAGTTGGGATGTGCTTATTCCCATGGTGATGAAACCTACTATATGCATATTTAACGCTGAAGAGTGGCTATGAAAGCCAATCAATTAAAGGGATGCTTCCTTGGGGGTGTAGACTGCTCCTAATAAAATGGACATACAATGAGACTTTCTCTCTTATTTTCACTGGAGACTTGGGGTTCTACAATAGTAAGGTAATAAATTTCTCCATACACACACACACACACACACACACATATGTTTCACTGGTTTTGCTTCTCTAGAAAACCTGGCCTAAGACATTACAGTTCTAGTCAGTTTTATACTTTAACACAAAATGTTCTTCATATGTGTTAATTTAACCATTCTTTCCTCATGAACGGTAACTACCTCACCCCTCACCCCTCAGAACTCAGCACACTTCTAGACACAGTACTTGTTTTAATTGGAGTCTCCTAATGAAATCAGCTGTTTAGGTTCTTTTTCCAAATCTTCAGTAATAGAATTCCTATTGAGGCTGATCTTTAGGGAACCCCATGCTTTAACAAAACCAAAAGAAGTTTTTATTGTTTGTTTGTTGTTGTTTTTTTTAAGAAAAAAACTGACCTGAAATGCACAAGGTGTATTGTCCACACAATAGACTCTCAAGTTGTAATCCAGGGAGTTACACGACATGCAGCCAAAAACTGCCACCTTGAGCTGCTTCACAGCACAGTCAGTGATTGGTTCTCCAGTAAGAGCATATGTCCCAAAGCTGTCTAAGAGTACATGGCATGCGAAGGGATCCAAAAGGCAGTAACAGGATGTAGATTCATCCTCTACTGACATCACTTCCTGTTGGGGAAAGACATGGTAAATTTTCACCTTGGAAATAAGATGTGATGCAACAATTACATTATAAGGACTTTTCTACATACATACATAAATAAATAATTTTTCAGAATATTTTTATCATCCTAATTATATTGATATTAAATATTGTTCTCTCGTATAACAAGAAAAAATGTTCAATTCAGTAATTCAAAAAATGGTTATGTTACATTTTATATGTTAGACTTCTTCTTAGTACAGTATAACAAATGTCCTTAGAGTTTTCTTCGATTTCCAGTTAATTTGTACACTGTAAACTTAAAAAAAAATGTCTTGGACATTAACAGTCATATGCTATCTCTTATCTACTTTTTACAAAAATTTATTTCTGAAAACCCCATTTAATATTTTCAAGGTAATATTAACTTTTATTCACATATGTTTTCCCCTTCTTCTAAAATCATTCACTGTTGTTGTTGTTGTTAAGTGCCTTCGAGTCGGTTCCGACCCATAGCCACCCTGTACAGGGTTTCCGAGGGTGTAAATCTTTACGGGAGTAGAAAGCCTCATCTTTCTCCCGCGGAGCGGCTGGTAGTTTCGAACCCCTGACCTTAAGGTTCACAGCCTGATTCGTAACCACTACGCTACCAGAGCTCCTTAAAATCATTCACTAGGTAACATTAAATAAATAAATGCTTTGGACCTGGACTAATATTTCACCTCCCTAATAAGAATTTAAGTAAGTGACTGGTTTGATAGAACACAGAGATATCACCATCTGGCTGCAGAAGGTAGTGATAAAGTACTAAGAAGAGAAACTATAGTGGTTAAGAATCAAGGCAAAGCAAAATATAATGAAAAGGAGACTGAAACATGGCCCCATTATGAAGCCTAGGAAACTTCATGCCTCAGGAAATTTACCTGTGGTAGTATTAGAATTAAATACATAGCAGACTGCTTTTGGGAACAAAGAAAATAGACTAGTTTTAAGACATGGATGACCAGGGTAAATGTAATTCATTGCAGCAATTGAGGATTTTCTTCTCCTAAAGAAACACGGCTCTCCTTCTAGTCCTTTTGCGGGAAGTACCTCCTGGGAGACAAGATCCCAGGGCTTGCTGAAACAGGTCATTGTGTTCCAACAAGATAATTTATCTGCTTTCATGCTAACCAACTTCATGTGGACATAAAAGGGATCCGTATCAGAAAGATAAATCAGAGCTTTCACTTAAAGTAGTAATTTGACTGCAATCTGTCTTTGCTGTGATGTCTCCCTTGTTGTTAGCCTTCTATTATGTATCTTTATCTTCCTTTCTTTTCTCTCTCTTTTGTTCTCTCCTTGTATTATACCTTTCATATGTACTCATATACATAAGGAAATAGACACTTAGAATTATTTTCAATGCAGTAATACTCCCCAAACATTTATTTAGCACCTCTTGTGTTCCTGAATACTTAAAATCTAGATATGCTTTAATCTGTATAGTGAGGGGCGGAAAAACTCTCCATGATGTAGTGATTTCATTTCTGAACACAGCCTGCCTGCCCTAAGCCTCTTCCCTACACCACAAAGGCCAGAAAGTTAAGTCAATTCAGAAAGAAAAATGGCCTGAAGGAAGGGAGAGAATTCGTGAGCAGGTACATAAGTGGCTATGTCTGGGTGGGTGATGACAACTGTCTTTGAAAAGCAAATAAAAAGGCCCTGGATTATCTCTTGTTTCTCTTTTCCATTATCGTGGAAAATAAAGTAACCAGTACCTTGATGATGTTGTGATATATAAACTACCAACTCTCTGGAAAATAAGAAAATGCTTAAAAATCTCACTGTTGATTCACTTTGTTTAAGAGAGGCTAAGGTTAAATCTATCCCATAGCTGGAACTCAAGTATCATTTGCTTTTGAAAAAGGAAAGAATCAGGTCTCACCTCCCATTTGCCCTGCTGGCTCCTCTTCTTTAAATGGATATTCCAGTGCTCAGAGCTGACATCTGCACAGTGTGGGATGGTCAGTGCAAAGGGGGTGGTAACAATCATGTCAGGGGGACCGCAGGTGACTTCCGGGCTCAGCAGCACCTCAGATCCATCTGACTGGAGGCTTTAAAGTTGGCAAAAGCATCAAAGGGAGGAGCATGTAAAGGAGATGGCATATTTGACTAAAACTTTAGTTGCAGACTGAGAAAAATCTTCCCCAGCCCACCGTGGAAAAGTCACACACATGCAAAAGGTTGGTCTGAATGACTCCCACATTGGAAGTGAAATGGCTCATGTTTACTCTGAATGACTCCAGCACACAAACTGAGTTTAAGACTAGATTTTAAATCTATGTTTTCACAAGTAATCAGAAGGACAAAATGTCTCTTTAGGAATAAAGGGCAGAACTGGAGAAATCACATAGCTAGCTGGTATCTGTCACACCAGCTGCCATATCTGCATTTTTGTTGAAAACATATTGATAGTCAAAAGATGAAAACTTAGTAGAAATGATTGATCTGGTAATCTTACCATCAGATTCTATTCCCCCAACACATTCCAATACCAGTAAGTGATAAGACAGATTATTATGGAACAAAACAACATTTCAAACATACCCAGATTGTGTTTGCCTATTCTGGTTCTGAAAACATTTATTTTGTGCCAATGCACAAATATATAGGTTATACAGTGACAACACAAAAGACAGTTATACATGTACATAGTCAAATACATAAATATGGATCTTTTAACTCTTCCTTATTTTAGATCTAAATTTTAAATCATTCCACTCAAGCCTGGTGTTTAGATATTTTTGTATTCTGAATTATTTCCTGTGGGAATGCAAAATCATGAAACAGAGAAAAGAATATGAAACTTAACTAAAGGAATGATACCACCACGTTAAATGCTTTCCTCTTTCCTTTTCTGTACATATCTCTGTGCATATTTTAAATTATTGGAAATATATATTTACAAAAACATTTGCCATTTTAACATTCATCATATGTTGTCTATTTTTTTTCATCTTTGCCCCAAAGTAGTCAGAAGGGGTATATTTTAAGGCAACAATCATTGAGAAGAAGTCAGACATCTACTTATTCTTCCCCAACTCCTCATGTAACCCTGACAAACTATCTCATCCTCCTTTTGCTGGACTTTCATTTGTAAAAGATATAGCGATACACATACAGTGAATAAAGCAATTTAGGACTTTCGGGTGAACTATGCTACATGAGAGCTAGGGTTGTTATTATCACCAAAACTTGTACTTGAATACAAGAGGAATATTTAAATATGTCAACACTGATCAACAAATCAACTTAGTATTAAAACAGACCACCTTTTAGGTGATCTTGTATAAACAAACAGTTTTTCTATGTACACATTTAACATGTTATTAGTCTCTGAATTACTTTTGTTGACATCTTCCATTCTCTGTCAAGATAGTAATAGTCACTTTAGCTCATGACTGATAATTTGCTGTAGCAATAACTCCAAGGCATATTACTGAGCACTGGCATTATACATCCCTGTATATAACCAGACCTGAGTATTTTTTGCATCATCATTCCCTGTTCCCCAAGAAGCACTGGAGATGCTTTCCAAAATATTCATTCTTGCACACAATTAGCCACGGTCCAAAGCTGACAATTCTTCTTACAGAAGCAAAGTATAAATTAAGCTGAAAACATGCCTGCATTTACCTATAGGCAGGGCAGGCAAGAGGAAAGGGGATTGGAAAGCAAGGCATTAGCAATAGCAAATGCTCTACACAAGGCCTAGAACAATATACTCCAGAAAGTTTGGGAAAAAAAAAAAAAGCAAAATGCAAATGTGAGCTATAAGCAGCACGAAGTGGCAGCCCGCATGTGGATGCCTGCCAGCAGCCATTAGAGAGGGTTAAGCGCATTCCATGTAATTGCTGCCTGCATTCATCATGGACAGGAATAGCAGGGATGCTTATGAGTGACCGATGACAAGCTCTCCTAAAAGAACTATTTAATTGCTTTTAGAGAATCATCCCCCTTGTTGAACATATTGTTCAAACATATGGGAATTCGGGCAATTATTTAATGCCAAATGAACTGAAATCAGCTAATTAGATGAACTCTCACACTCATTGTGAATAGCAAGACTCTTTTCTGTAATAACTTAAACAGCATTAGGAGTCAGAGGCAATGCGTACTGAATATTACCCAGCACATGGGATGGGAGCTTTGCATTAAGCAGGCACTGAATATTTCCATAAGTGTAAAGTAAGTCAGTCAAGATTTACATCTAATTCCCCTAATGCAAAAATAGTGTGAGTGGATGCAGGGTCTCTGGTGAAGGAACAAAACTTAATCTTTCTGTTTTTTCCCATGATTAATAATCACTTGCCCTTTTCTGCCATCTTCTTTCTGTGGCAATCAGAGAGCCTTACAAATATTAATTAAAGCTCTTCACACACCTGTGGAAGCAGGTGTTAACAGCATAAGGTCACAGAGAAATCAATCAAAGTGATGGCAGCAAAATCACCCTAAATTTCTGACTCACAGGCTCCTGCTATCCATGGCAGGATTTTAATTCCCTTGTCTTCTACCACTTTGAGATCTCTGGACAAACTGCTGGCTCTTGTGACATAGGGGAGTGGGGTTTTGTTTAGTCTGAGGTAGCCATGGAGAAAGACTTATGACCTTTGAGGATGAAGAGCTGGGGAGAGGTGTGTTTATTTTGGTGTGGGCAAAAATGAAGAGTCATGAAGAAAACATGGATGGCAATTAAGTTTTTCTATATTATGTCATACATGACAAGTAAGTAGTCATGCGCCTGCTAGGCTGAAAAGAAAGCAACACATTTTCCACAAATTGCTGTGAGCTAATACCATCTATGAACTAACAGCAGCAGCAATTTCTGGATTCCACTACGATTCACCTCAGTGTACCACATTCCCGACGCACACTGCAGATTGAAGTCTAGTGCATGGATTGATGTTACTTTATCTTTTTCATATCATGCATTCCCTCCCTCCCTTTTCCTCTCTCTTTATCTTTCGCTTTCTATGTTGTTGTTGTTAAGTCCCGTAGAGTCAGTTCTGACTCATAGCAACCCTGATTAGGGTTTCCAAGGAGCAGCTGGTGATTTGAAACACTGACCTTGTGGTTAACAGTCTAGTGCTTATCCTGCAGCATGATACAAGAGTCCATGTGTATATATGTATATATGTGTGAGTATATATGTTGTTGTTGTTAAGTGCTGTTGAGTTAGTTCCCTGTATAGCAACCATGTATAGGCAGAGCATAAAGACTAACCTTTTCCCCATAGAGCAATTGTAAGTTTGAACTGCTCACCTGTGGTTCCCAGTGGAGTGTTTATCCTACAGAGCTTATGTCCCGGTATGGCACTGTAGGATGAGCACTGGAATGCTAACTTGTTGTTGAAACCCACCAGCTGCTCCTTAGAAACCCTATACAGTGTTACTATGAGTTGGAACTGATTTGACAGCACTTAACAAAAACAACATAAATATACGTTGAATGTTTATGGATATAAAAAATCAATAATTTAAGATCCTGGTTTGGATAACACGGGTAACTTGTTGAATCAACTGGATGGAGCTTATCAGCTGTAGGATCAGCACTTGACCGTGAACCACAAGGTTGGCAGTTCAAACCCACCAGCTATTCCTCAGAAACCCTACACAGGGTTGCTATGAGTTGGGATCAACTCGACGGCACTTAACAACAACAACAACATAAATATGGTTTGAATATTTATGGACATAAAAAGATTAATAATTTAAGATCCTGGTCTACATAAGAAAAAGGAAAAGCTTGTTGAACAAGCTACTACATGTGAGAACATTGCTGCAAATCCACCTTCTGCCCTCAAAATATAACTGAGTGTTTTAGGGAAAACTGCCAGCTTTGCAGTTTTGAACTCTGAACCCTGAAAATATATATGATAGGGAAGAATCATGCAAGGTCCACAGGAACATTGTGGCAGGCAAGTGGGTAATACAAATAGATCATAGTTACCAGAAGTGAAAACCAAGCACATTTTCAGAGAAAAGATGAAGCAGGTGACTGAACAGCCCCATAAACTATTGTCCTCTCTGCACTCTTCAAGGCATCACCCCAGCACTATGACCCTTCTCTGACTTTCTCTCTGTCATGAAAACCAGACAGCTTGGCAGAGTGCAAATTTCATGACTTTGGAGTTTGATAGACCTGGCTATAAATTCTGAATCCACTTTATGAAGCAGGCTAGAAAGGGGCTTTGGACAGATGAGTTAACTTTTCTAAGCCTCACTTTCCTCATTTGCAAAATTATACTTACTTTAGGATTTTTTCAAGAATTAAAGGAATTTAAGTATAAAAAGAACCTAATATTGTGTGCTAAGAAAACACAACATTTCTGAAGCTCAAAGAACCAAAGATAAAAAGTCAAGCCTCAACCTGCAATGTTGAAGGATACTATGGACTCCTGGAGTGGCAGTATAGGATCAGCACTGGACTGCAATCTATACGTTTGACAGTTTAAACCCAACAGTTGCTCCTAGGAAATCCTATTCAGGGTCACTATGAGTTGGAAACAACTTGATGGCACTTAACAACAATAATAGGCAAAATGGAATTATGGTATTGGCACTGTACAATAGCTCTGGTAGCGTAGTGGTTACGAATTGGGCTGCGAACCTTAAGGTCAGCAGCTCGAAACTACCAGCTGTTCCACGGAAGAAAGATGAGGCTTTCTACTCCTGTAAAGATTTACAACCTCGGAAACCTTGTACAGGGTCACTATGAGTCGGAACTGACTCCATGACACATAACAACAACATCACTGTACAATAAGCACTGGGCTGCTAACTGTAAGGTTGGTGATTCAAACCTACTAGCCATTACTCAGAAAACCCTACACAGGTCATTGTGAGTCAAAACCAACAGTAGGGAACTTAACGACAACAAAATGGGCAAAATGTTGAATGATAAAGGAATATGAAATGAATACACAGAGTCATACTCTGCCAAAAAGGATTGGTCAATGTTCAATCATTCAAAGAAACAGCATATGATCAAGAACCTATTATACTGAAAGACACTGAAGGTGTTGGTGAAATACAAGGTCCTAAGAATTAATGGA